TGGTTGAGGCGGCTCATCCCCAGCAGGCAGAGGTGGCACTTCTACTTCAAGAGGAGCTAATTGCACTTCACCTGAGGAAACTGGATGAAAAACGAGAGGTTGGACTTTGATCGAGTCTGCCTGATTCTCCACTCCAGCATCTTGCACTTCTTCCTCTTCCTCTACGGCCACAAGCTCAGCATCAAAGGTTGGAGGAAAGATAGTGCGCCCCTCTGCATCACGCTCCCACCTCAACTTGATCAGAGGCCGGAAGTCAATAGAGAGACTCTCACCGTCCTCCTCTAGTCCTTCTTCTTGTTCGCCAAAGGAGACCGTTGTGATGTCCACTTCTGAATAATAAGCCTTCACCTTCTTTCTGCAGTCGGTGAATGCCAAAATTGCAGTCGGCAGCCAGTAGAGGTTGATGATGTTCTCAAAAGTGCTGGAGTTGAGGAAGTTGCCAATGTGCTCCTCCATCCCATTGTGAACCAGCAGATTCACATTCTTTTTCAGCTCTGCTACTCCTTTATTCATGTTCTCAATGTACTTTTGTTGAGCCTCGAGCTTATCTTCACAGATCTTCCTCTTGCGTTCTTCGAAGGTAAGTCTCGTGCTCAAGGTGTGTCTATCGTTCTGGAGTTTGGTTACTGATGGCAGAACTTCATCCAGTTTCCTCTGCATTTCTTTGTTCTTCTTCAGTAGCTCCTCCTTCTCCTTCTGCAGTTCCTCACACTGCCTCTACAAGCTGGCACGGTCTTTCACGCTCTCTGCATACTCTTGTGCCAGAGCGTTTACCCAACTTGCACTCTACGATGTAAGTAGAAGTCAGAACTCAAACATAGAAACCAAAACCTCAAAAATAAAATATGAGTAAACTATAATTTCTTTACATACCTCCAGGGAATGTCTCACAACGTGGCATTTAGGAAGAGTGGCATTCGGGAACCTCTTCACCCTAGTGATGTTTGTTGTTTCGAACAAACTCTTCTGGAACGAAGGAGGAGGGATGAGTTCCTTGCCTTTGCCAGGGCCTCGCACCTCAGCCTCTTCCCTCTCCCTAACTTCAGGATCCACTTTAGCAAGAGAAGGCCGAGGCATGAACTCAACCACCTCATCCCCCCTAGCCTCTGGCTCCACCACCTTCCTTTTCTTCCTCTGCAGTGGCGCTACCTCCTCACTCATCTCTTCACTCCCCCCCTTCTAGGCTCTGACCTTTACTGCATCTCCAACGCTTGAGCAAAAGTGCTGGACAGCCGCTCCCTCTCTACCTCCCCCTTTTTTGCCACAGTCAAAGTCTTGGACTTCTTCCTTGGCTTTTTTGGGATTGCTAGCCCCCCAGCAGCATTTAAAAAGCCCTCCATCTCAGCTGCAAAACAAAAATAAGTGTTAAAACACACTAACTGGAAGTTCAAGTAAGTTGTGCAAAGTAAAAATAAACAAACCTTCGCTCAATGAGCTTGGCCCATAAAGCTCGGCAGCCTTTATTGCCTCCGCACTGGTGAGGTACATGATATCCACTACGTCCCCTTCCTCCCTCACCAGCTTCCTTACTTCTTCCACCTCATCCTCATTCAACTTATAATTATTTTGCTTGGTTTTCTTAACTATCCAAGCAAATAGGTGTTCTACTTCAGCATCCCTCCTACTCCACTCGATGTCATCCACAAAGAAGAATTTTTCTTTCCATCCTTTGATGGATGACAGTCCAACAGTGAATAAACTCCTATTCTCTTTGCTGGACGACCGATGGTCGAAGTAGTACCACCCCTTCTCACTCTTACCCCCACCCCTTATTATAAAAAAATATTTAAACATATTTACAATAGGAACCCCAACACCCCAAGCTCGGCAATATACTATAAAACCTATTATTACTTTTATAGCATTTGGGGTTAATTGGGTTATTCCTATACTATAATCTAACAATAACCCAACCAGTAACTCTGGAATGGGAAACCTAAGCCTTGCTACCAAATAATGGACATACATGGGCATCCAATGGTCTCGGGATGCTGAGCACGCTCTCTCATTCACCCCCGCAGGCCTAATTAGCACATGGTGAGGGAGATTGCAGTTACTTACGAGACCCCTCCGGCTACCCTTGCTACTCAATTCACTCACATACCCCTTCACCTCAGACACTATGTCTAAATCAGGGTCATAACACCTACCCGCATTACCCTCAACCTCCATAATATTTGAGGGAATTTCTTCTTCCTCCTCTTCCATTACCCCTCGCTCCTTCCTTTTCTCCACTGTTCTCTCCAAACTAGATGGAGATGGACTATTCTCCGAGTCCATGCCACCATACTCCAGGGGCATCACCTCACTTCCTACTACACTCATTGTCCCTTTTGAAGACATCTCCTCAAGTTCTGCAAAAAGTAGGAGGAGGAATGGAGTCACGACCCTCAAAAAGTTCTAACGCACATTCAATAACATTCTCACTCCCAACCTTAACTTCCTTCAGAGGACTCAAAATCAAAAACATAAAGGGAGAAAGGAGAATGACACTTCATTAAAATTAAAACCAGAAATTCATAAACATTACCTGATTTTGATCTTGTGAAACTGGTGATGAAGTCTCAAACGAAGCACAGACGGCACGAAACCGCAGAAGTTTAGCAGCAATTTGGTAGCAAAATAGCGAAAGTAAAACCCATTTTTACAGAAGTTTTGCCTTTTATAGCAAAGGCAAAATACGCCTCAACAACCATGATTAACTCCATCTAACGGCTATAAAGACACCGTTTCGAATTCGACGGTTAACCTCAAATGGCACCATTTTGAACTCGATGTTTCGTTTTTTAAATCCGCTTGTTTAAGTGTTGTAGTGATATTTTTACAGCTGCATTTATTACGCACTTCTTTCAAAGGACAGTTGTCACATCACGTACTACCTCTTTGTTAAACTTCTCAGATGGGCTCACTTAAGCCCATTTCAACACTCTTACTCTCTTTTACACATTCTCAATTTTTGCAAGTGTTTTACTTTGGCAACCGACCTGATGGCTCCGGTCCTACTTGTCTCTTTAGCTTCGGCCACAGTGACCTAGTGTCACATATTTTACTTCGGCTTCGGCCACAGTGACCCAACGTCATATATTTTACTTCGGGTCCGGCCACAGTGACCCAGTGTCACATATTTTACTTCGGCTCTAGCCACAGTGACCCAGTGTCACATATTTTACTTTGGCTCCGGCCCACAGTGACCTAGTGTCACATGCTTTACTTCGGCTCCGGCCCAAAGTGACCCAGTGTCACACAATTTGCTTCGGCTCCAACCCTAGTGACTCAGTGTCACTCGTTTCACTTTGGCCCCGACCATTATGACCTAGTGTCACACGTTTCACTTCTGCCCCGACCATTGTGGCTCCTGGTCACGAACTTTACTACGGCTCCTGCCATTATGACTCTGGTCATTACTTTTTATTACGGCTCCAACCACTATGACTCCGGTCATTACTTTTTATTACGACTCCGGCCACTGACTCCAATCATCATTTCTCATTGTGGCTACGACTATGATCACTCTGGTCACATTTTATTTTGGGCATGGTCAACATGACCCGCTGCCACATACTTCACTATTCGCTACGACCATACATACATTCGAGTTACGGATTTTTATTTTCATTTCCATTTTTACTTCTATAACTCATCTTTAATACTTTTGTCCCCCTTCCTTTTTATTTATGCACTACTCCCATCATCTCCAACAACATCATTCACAAGTGAATGACTTTGGGGGGAGAATAGTGTAAGGACAGGTCCAAGGCGCCCAACCTCGGACGTACGACAATAATTCCTTTATAACCGGAGTAAAGGATAAATCCAAAACTCCGCACTCAAACAGCTGCATGACAGCAACAATAGGCATGCCCACACCTGATTCCTTATGACAAGTTGCACAGCAGTTATGATGGGCACCCTTGCATCTGAATATCTCTCAATTTCCTGGTCTCGAAATAACTGTCTGGAGAGACACGTCAAACTCCGATTATCTTGCTTGGCATGCCACATGGGTTCCTCACTGAAGCCTATAAATACCCCCCAGGGGCCACGACAAAAAGGTAATTGAAACCAACCATAAGCTCATTTTATCTCCACTCTAAAGGTAGCCCCGATTATTGTTGACTTAAGCATCAGAGTGTCTACCCCGAGTTCCACCTCGGGGCTTTGCAAGTCAATCCTGAGTGCAGAGGCGGACTGAAGAAGGACTTCTGGTTTGGTGCAATTATAGGGGGATAGAAAAATATAGATGAAAAGAGAGAGAAATATGAGAAGATATACCTATATAATATAGGAGAGTAAAGGTGAAATGAAAGAAAAAAAAATGAAATAATGCAAAAAAATCACTTTATATTTGATAAACAATGGATATAGATCTTAAAACTTATGGGACTTATATTTCTTTTAAGGTATATTCTAATTAAAAACACATGATCAATATTAGTTTTATCCAACTAACAATCATAAAACAATTAGATGTTAATCTCACAATTATGTGAAAATTAATAAAAATTGGGATTATCATAACAATGAACAAAAAGTAAATTGTCCACCATATATAAACTTTTTATTTTATTAAATACACATGAGATTAATAACATTCATTTGAAATAGTTAGTCATAATTAATATTATTAAAATTAATAATTACAATAAATGGTCAATATAAACGAACATGTGGATTTAGCGTCTAATTATACTAAACAATTAAATTAAATGCAATTATATTAGTATTTTTGTGTGACCCTAACAATTTTTTCGGTGACCATAATCCTTGTGGTTGAGACTAGCAAAGCCTTATAACCACATTGAACTATACATCTGTAGTTAATAGGAATAGGCACAAGTTTGAATAATATCTTACTTTTTTTTAGTAGGAAAATTATCAATGCAGTGATTTGACGAATTAGGAAGTGAACTACGTGATTTACCTATATTTCTATAATAAAAAAAAAGAGTCATTCTATCTCTAAATAATTTATGCACCATCCCCCATTTTTACTTTCTTGAATCGTTCCCTGATCCTCCCTTCCTAGTTGCTCCCTTTCTACCAAATTCTAACCAACCAAATAACATTTCAATAACTTCTTCTCATTCCTTAATAAGTAGAGATACAACAAACTTCAACAAAGCGTGTATTGGTGGTAGTTCGAGGTCATGTGCCTCGTTATCATCTGAGGTCAGGTACCTCGGGTGACCTGATCTATTCCCAACAATCTAGTCACCTCGATTTTAAGGAACAACAAGCTCAATCGAGTTTGAGCTTGTCCTCTTTGCTTCTGTTCTTTAGTAACTCCGTACATGCACAGATCTTTCAAGAGAGTTTCCTACGATCATTGACACATATAATCCTGATTGCCCGTGAAGAACAACACGTGGATGCCCATTTGAAAGCTATAAATACCCCCCAAGGGTCCTCCCCAAAAGGTAATTGAAATCAAACTCAAGCTCAGCTCTTGATTCATACTTAGTAGCTCTGATTGTTGCTAACTTAGGCATTGGAATGTTTACCCCGAGGACCAACGTCGGGGTTTTGTAGGTTGGCGGAAGTGAAGATTAGAGCTCAGGAGTATTTTGGAGTTCTTTTGCAACTACATTGGCACCATCTGTTAGAAACTAAGCTAAAAGCCTTGCTAGTGGCTTCTATGATGGTTAACACGCATTCAACGCAACATGGAAACCCTCAACAGGGTCGAGGAAAAGGTCAATTCCCCAATGGAAATCCTATGTCTCACACCGTGCCACCTCCCATAGCCCAACATTAGCATGTGGAAGGGACTAGGGAGAATAACCCACAACACCCAGCAGAGGTCCTAAATAATGCCATAGCCACCTAGCTCAACACTATGTAATAACAGTTTGGTGTGTTTCAGCTTGTGCTTGCACAGTTGTTAGCCAGAGACAACCAGGTGACCCCCTCATCACCTTGTTAAATCTAACTAACCAAGCACCCAATCACCAGCCTCAGCGACATGTCAATTCACCAACCCGAACTGCCGTCCCGCCTCAAAGCAAGTCCCAAGGCCACTTTCACAGACACTTCCACCTCCACCTCCACACCCACCTCAACCAGTTGTCTCAGATGTTTCCAAAAGGTTAGACAACCTAGAAAGAATGATGGCCGAGCACCGAAATCCCCAACCTCCAACTCAGCCCAATGCTACCCCAATCCCTATCCCCCTTAATACCAACATCATCCAAAAACCGTACCCATCTGGATTCAAAATGCCTCAATTCGAGACGTATGATGGCAATAAGGACCCCAATGATCAGTTGTATGCCTTATACTCTATTATGCAAACTCAGAATGCCTCAGATGCCTTGATGTGCAAAAGATTCCCCTCTACATTGCGTGGAAACGCTCAGACTTGGTATTATAGTCTGCAGCCAAACTCAATCAGTTTGTATGCCGAGCTGGCAGCATCTTTTGCAACTAAATTCTCAAGTGAAGACGATCTCTGAGCTCATGCAAGTAACCCAGAGGAAAGGTGAATCTCTGAAGAACTACATGAATAGATTCAACAATGGTGTATTGGAGATTGGCTCATTTAATCAAGTTGTGGGATTAGTTGCCATAATTTAAGCTCTCAAGCACGAGAGGTTTCAAGATAGCCTGATAAAGCACCCTCCTACCACCTTTGATGAAGCCAATGAAAGATCTTGGAAGTTTATTTAGGTCGAGGAATAAACCTTGTCCGGTAAGCCCACACCGAGTAAAGAGGTCAGATCTTTGACCTGGAGAGATGAAGAGCAGAGCAAAAAGAGATTCAAAACTGCACAAAACCGAGGTCCATTCCCTATTAAAGTTGACAAGCCCAACCTAAATACCCCACAGCCTATGATAAAGCAGATCACTTGGACTTCGTTCACACTACTGAGGTCACAAATCCTGATGCAGATAAAAAATGAAATGGAGCTTAGAAGGCCCCTACCTATGCGAAATTTACCTGCTTCTAAAAATCACAACAGATATTGTGACTTCCACCAGGATCACAAACACACCACAGAGGAATGCAACAATTTGACGTCTGAGCTCGAGGGTTTAGCCTAGAAAGGAACGTTGAATGATTACATCTCCAACAAGGACTAGCTTAAGTTTGTCCAAGAGCAGGGACGACCTCAAGGATCTCAAGATGCAAACAACAGAACTGGAGTTGGTTATCAACAAGCACCACCCCCTCTTCCCCCACCTTCACGCATCATTCACATGATAACTGGTGGGCTATAAGCTAAAGGGAGGAGCTCAAAACAGCAAAAGTTATATGTGAGAGAGGTAAAGCACCAAAATCGAACTCAGAAGAGGAAATTTGATGAGGCAAACTAGAAGAATCAACCTATAACTTTTAGCTTAGCTGATTTTGATGGTGTCGTCGCACCACACAATGACCCGCTCGTCACCTCAATCATTGTCAATAACTGTGAAGTTCAACATGTCTTTGTCGACACAGGAAGTGCTCCGAGCATCATGTATTACCACTGCTTTGAGAGCCTTGGCCTTGATCCTACCTTTTTACAGAAGTATGATGGCCCCATTTATGGATTCAATAATCAGCCAGTCCTTGTGGAAGGAGTCCTGAAACTCAATGTAGCATTCAGTTTAAGTCGGACATATGTCACTCCCTCAGTTTGGTTCTTGGTAGTGAAGATGGTGTCATCTTTCAACGTTGTCATCAAAAGACCAACTTTGACTAAGATTCTAGCTGTTGTTTCACAGTCCCACCTCTACATGAAATTCTCCACCCCGTGGGAGTGGCGACTTTGAAAGGCAACCAAGAGATGGCTAGGCATTGCTACATGACTTTGGTCAAACGACCTCGAAAGGATAAGCAATTAACTCTAATGCCAACTCAGCTTGAAGTCTCAACTACACAACAAGTAATGGGTGTAGAACTACTGGATAACAGACTTGAGGATGAGGCCAAGCCTACTCGGCAGAAGAAGTGGAAGAGGTAGAGCTTGACGACAACAACCCCACTAAGAAGACATAGATTGGGACCAAACTGGACTCGAGAGAAAGGGAAGAGCTTATTAACTTTTTGAAGTCGAACAGAGATATATTTTCTTGGACCTCGGCTAATATACCCAGAATACCCACTTCTATTGTAGTACACAAGCTAAGTACTAATCCTCTAAAGAAGCCCATAGCTCAAAAAAGGCACCTATTTGGGGGAGAGAGGTTGCAAGCAATCAGGGAAGAGGTGCAGAAGCTTTTACAGGCAGGGTTTATAAGAAGAGTAAACTACTACGAATAGGTTGCCAACCCTCTTTTAGTCAAGAAGTCAAATGACAAATGGCGAACGTGTATTGACTACACAAATCTAAATGAAGCTTGCTTGAAAGATTATCATCCCTTGCCAAATATAGATAAGCTGGTAAAGGCTGCATCCGGAAATGAATGGTTTAGTCTTTTAGATGCTTACTCAGGATATCACCAGGTCCACATGGCACCTGAGGACGGGGTGAAGACCTCCTTCAACACCGGTGATGAGATCTACTGTTACGTTATGATGCCATTTGGACTCAAGAATGCAGGGGCTATGTATCAAAAAATGGTGATGATTGTATTTCGAACTCAAATCGATAGCAATTTGGAAGTCTACGTCGATGACATAATGGTTAAAAGCCTCAAGGCAAAAGATCATTTGATCAATCTGGGAGAGACATTTGACAACTTGAGAAAGCACAACATGAAGTTGAACCCGGTCAAGTGTGTCTTCAGGGTTGAATCTGGTAAATTCCTAGGGTTCTTGGTCTCTAGGAAGGGATAGAGGTCAATCCTGAGAAGATAAAGGTAATAAAAGAAATGAAACCACCAAAGTCAATTAAAGATGTACAATGCTTAACTGGGCGAGCAGCAGCTCTGCATAGATTCATTTCAAAGTTGGCTGATAGATGGTTGCCTTTTTTCAAAATCCTGAGGTCTACAGCACAAAAAGACAAAGCAGGAAAGCCCAAAAAGTTTGAATGGACCTCGGAGTGTCAAACTTCCTTTAACGAGCTCAAAGCATACCTTAACTCACCACCTCTGCTAACCAAGGTTAAAGAGGGTGAGATTCTTTACCTCTACCTTGGGATATTCGACAAAACGGTGAGCTCGGTCTTGATCAGAGAAATGGGGCAACTATAGAAGCCAGTTTACTATGCTAGCAAAGTGTTACAAAGGTCTGAGCTGAGGTACTTCATAGCAGAAAAAGCAACTCTGGCAGTTGTCACTACAACCAGGAAGCTGAGGTCGTACTTCCAGGTCCATCATATTATCATCCTAAAAAACCAACCTCTAAGGCAGATTTTGCAGAAGCCAGAATGTTTAGGCAAACTCATCAAGTGGGCAATGGAACTAGGGGAATTTCAAATTACATTTCAGCAGAGGTCATTAATCCGAGCTCAAGCTTTAGCAGATTTTCTGGTTGAATGCACTTCCAACCAAGGGAACACCAATTTTGAAGTCGAACTATGGACCCTCTATGTCGATGGAGCATTTAACAGTAAAGAGTTAGGTGTTAGGGCAGTGTTGATTGGACCTGAGAATTTTCGAAGTCAGCATGCTTTGAAGTTCAACTTTGAAGCAACCAACAATATGGCTGAATATGAGGCCCTTCTTCTCGGACTTCGTTTAGCAACCGAATTGAAGTCAGATCTCTACAGGTATACAGTGACTCCCAACTTGTAGTCAACCAGGTAAATTCCATATGTTAGGTTGCAGATCCTGTTTTGGCCAAATACCTAGCTATAGTTTCTAAGCTGAGGTGTTGATTTGAGAGATTTTAACTCACAAAAGTCTTGAGGTTAGAGAATGAACATATAGACTCTTTGTTGAAGTTAGCGTCTGATAACTCTAGAAGTGGGAGGCCTGTTTATGTTGAAGTCATTAACGAACCAAGTATTCAGACGTCAAAGGTGATGGAAGTCAACATTAATCCTGAAACTCCAAGCTGGACAGATCCTATTAGGGCATACCTTCGAGATGGAACTGTCCCAAATGATAAGCGAGAAGAAATGAAGTTGCAGAGAAAAGCATCTTGATACACCTTACTTGATGGAATCTTGTATAAGAGGTCGTACTTGCTCCCTCTTCTTCATTGCTTAACTCCTTACGAAGCCGAATATGCCTTCGCGAGGTGCATGAAGGTGTATGTGGGAGTCACATTGGAGCTTGGACTCTAGCTCACAAAATACTCCGCCAGGGATATTATTGACCCAATGTGTAAGAAGACGCTAAGAAATATGTTCAAAAGTGCTAGAAGTGCCAATTCTTTGCACGCCTCACTCACCAGCCTGTGGAAGAACTCACTAACTTGGTTACATCATGGCTTTTTGCCCAGTGGGGGATAGATTTGTTGGGTCCTTTTGTCAAAGGTGTGGGGGGAGTGACACACTAGGCCATGGCGGTTAATTACTTTACGAAGTGGGTGGAAGCTCGACCTCTATCCAATCTGAGCTTGAAAAAGATTGAAGATTTTGCTTTTAGCTCAGTCATCTGTAGGTACGGGATACCAAATCAGATTGTCACCGATAATGGGCCTCAATTTAATTGCACCTCCTTTAGGGACATTTGCTCTAGTTATGGGATCAAATTGGTATTTAGTTTGGTTTATTATCCCGAGACAAACGGAATGGTAGAGTCTGTTAACAAAGCTATTCTAGAAGGGATCAAGCTGAGATTGGACCAACTCAAAGCCAAGTGGGTAGACGAGCTCAACAATGTCTTATTGGCTTACCGAATTACCTGTCGGACGGCCACAAGTATATTAATAGTTCTAATTCCCTCATCTGAAATCATAAATAATTACGTTAAATGAAATTGTGAACCACAATTTTTTTTAATTAATTAGGCAAAACGCCCTACACTTGGCTTTTGGGACTAACACAGTCGTTCCTGTTGAGCTTGGTGTCCCAAGTTTGAGAGTTAGCTATTTCGACCCAGCACGAAATGACTTGCTACTCCAGGAAAACCTTGAGCTCTTGGATGAAGTTCGCGAGCAAGCTCGACTTCGGACAATAGCATATAAGTAAAGGATAGCCAACTTTTACAATAAACGAGTCCGACCTCAAAGTTTTAGGATCAGCGACCTCATCCTCAGGAAGGCAAGACTCACTTGCTTCAAAACCCACTTTTGCAAACTAGCACCGAACTGGGAAGGCCCATATCTAATAGCTGAAATACCCTACCTCGGCGCTTATATACTTCAAGACGCTGATGGTAAAAGAATACCTAGAGTATGAAATGTAAATAATTTAAAGAAATTTTACTCTTAATAAAGCTTGGTCTTATCCAGTCATAACATTACTTTTTCTAAAGTTGAGGTTAAGAACTCACTTCTACCTCGGATTAAATATGAATTAAATCGTTTTACATGATATTTTATTTTGGAAGTCAAAGTTAAAAGCTCACTTCAGCTCTAGACTAGATCCTACCACTTTAATTTCTAAAGTTGAAGTTAGAAATTTACTTCAACTTATTGTTTAATATGAGCTTGGCTATTAGTTTTATTTCTGCTTTAATAGGCAGTCCGAGGTCAGACATTTTATTTCAGTTCTGTCGCCTTTTTTAATTCACTTGATATTCAATGTCAGAAGTCATGCATTCATACTAAAATCATAAATAACAACAATTTTTCAAAATTCTAATTTCATTCATTAAAAATTAAAAATACAATGTTCTTAAAAATACATCAAAATTTAGAAGAGCTGGCCGAAATCAGTCGATCGCTAGATGCTGTTGATCCACCTCTTGCTCAGCATCATTATCTCCGACCTCGGCATTTGTAGGAACCTCGACCTGATCTTCATCAACGGCGACAAACTCGTACTCCAGACGTGGGGGAAGCACAATTCGTCCAGCCTCATCTCACTCTCAACTGAGAGTTATGTCTGAGCGGAATTCAGCTGTTCTACTCTCCCCATCTTCTTCCACCCCAATGTCCTGAGGTTCGAAAGTGATTTTTGTCACGTCGACCTTAGGATTTTGAGCCTTCACTTTCTTCCGGCAATCGTTGAACACCATCACAAGTGTAGGCATGCGGAAGAGGTCCATAATCTTTGAAAATGTCGCTGAATTGACAAAGTTGGAGACATGCTGCTCAATTGAGTTGTGCACCTCCAACTCGGATTTCTTTTGCACCTCAGCCAACTCTTCTCGTGCCTTGGCCTTCTTCCTCTTCTCCACCTCAACCTCAGTAGCTGCCTTGGCAAAAGCCAAGTCCTCCTTAACCTTCTTGAGCTTCAAGGTTAAATCATTGAAGTTTTGGTCAGTTGACTGCTTCTACTAGTTGAGCTCTTTATTCTTCTCAACCAGGTTGTTCCTTTCCTTAAGGCAGTCATAATATTCAACTACCAAGGTGTTTATGAGGTTCACCGTCTGCAAAAAGAGCTGAGGTAATTTTTTTTTTTTTTTTTTTTGGAATTGAAAAACTGACTATAATTCAAGCTCTTATCTTGAGCACGTGGCACATAACGCCAGACCCTCCATGCTCTTCCACCTCATGTTGAGCTCTCTTAAGGTCCACCTCGGGAAAAGTGGATCTGATGAAGCATTTGGCAGCAATCTTGCTTGTACTTTCATAGAAGCTCGATTTCTGCCTCGGGATAGGGGATTCCTTCCCCTTCCCATGCGTCACCACCACCACTTCACGTAGAGATGGATCAATCTGCACCGATGGAGGTCGAGGCACAAACTCAACCAAGGCATCAAGTTGAGGCTGTTGCACCTCCTCTACCTTCTTCCTTTTCTGAGTTGCAACCTCCTCAGCCCTCTTTCTCCCTTACTTCGAGCTGGGCCCTGTTTCAGCTCGGGCTCCTTTGCTTGGGTGAGACCTCGAAGTCCCACCCATTACCCTCTCGTCCACACCAGGGGCAGTTGGAGCCTTTGACCTTTTCTCAAGAAGGGCAACGATCCTACCTCCAAACAAAAGTCGATTAATTTCTCTTGCAAGATGAAAAAGAATTAGTAAAGCGTTTAGTTCGTACCTCAGACATGCTTAAAAATAAATAAACCGACCTCTGCCCATAAAGCTCGGCCCATAAATCTTTACTGCTTCTAACATCGCCGTGCTGGTGAGATACATGATACCCATCACCTCCCCACCCCTTCTCTCCAACCTCTCCACCTTATCCTGCTCCCCCGAACTTAGTGAATATTTGTTGGGGTTAGCCTTTTTCCTCTTTCACCTACAGAGCTTAGCCACCTTTGCATCTGACTTCCCCTAGTCCGTATCATCCACAAATAAAAACTTATCCTTCCACCCCTTTATAGATGAAGGACCTGCGCTAAACAGGTTCTTCCCTACCCCCCAACTACCCGAGGTGTGAAATAGAACCACCCCATTCTTCTTATTGCTACCTCCCTTTATTAAGAAAAAATACTTAAAGATGTTGACTGTAGGTACAGCACCTCATGTTCGGCAATAGACTAGGAATCCTAGGATCAGCCAAACAACGTTTGGGACGAGTTGTGTTATTCCCAGCCCGTACTCCACCAGCAACACTACTAACAGCTCGAGCATTGGAAACCTAAGCCCAACTATCAAATAGTGCCCGTATATTGGCATCAAATGGTCTTTGGAGCCGAGCACGCTTGTTCCACCTCCCCAACTAGCCTAAGTAAGACGTGCCTTGGGATGGAGTACTACCCCACTAAATGGGTGAGCTCACTTCTGCTCCTCCATGAACTCTCATACCCCACCACCTCCGAAACTCCGAAACTACCTCCTCTTCCTCATTGTAATACTTAGCCCTATCGTCATCCACCTCCAAAACATTGGAAGGAACCCCAACCTCTTCCATTTCACCTCCAACCCTCTCACTCCCCTTACTCCTCGAACTTTCTACTTCGCTACTTCTACTTGAACTCAACTCCTGCACCCCTACTCCAATTCCAACACTTAGTATCTCTTCTGAAGACATGTTTCGTGACTCACTACAAGTAGGATGGGGACAACAATTAGGATCCTGAACTAATTCCCTCACTCTCTACTTCGATCTCAGACCCATTCCTAATGTTCCCTATCAAACTTAGTCTTAGGTCTGAAACAAGTTAGATTAGATATTGAAATCAAAAGTTGAGCTCAAGAGATTACCTGAACTTATGGTGGCCGAACTAAAACACATGAAAGATTTTCTAGACAACTGCAAGTTCAGATGACAAGTTGCTCTTGTTTCACTTCGGCAGCGCTTCGTTATAAAATCAGCAAGGTAAATTCTACATAACTCAAGCCTGGCTATTTATACTAAAGCCTTACTCCCCTTGATGGTCACGATCGTTTGAATATAACGGTCACGATTGTGTCCTTTTGAATTTGGCTATTATTCCTAATTGCGCCATTATTACAGCACGTCACATGAGGACAACTTTCAGCCTTTCAAATTAACTTGTTTAATTTTACTTTATTTTCCTTTCCGGTTCCGTTTCAAAAACCGATCCAAATTCAACCAAACTATATTAACTACTTCTTGGGTTAGTTCATATTCACTCATAATTTGTCACTTCGGCTCCAGCCATATATTACATGACTAAGTGTCATGATTTTTCACTTCGGCTCCGGTCATATAAGACATGACCACGTGTCATGATTTTTCACTTCGACTTCAACCATATATTACATGACCACGTGTCATGATTTTTCACTTCGACTCCGGCCATATATTACATGACCACATGTCATGATATTGTCACTTCAACTTCAGCCATACATTTGCATGACCTTGTCATGATGTTCCCACTTTGGCCCCGATCGTTTACCATGACCTCATGTCATAATGTTTCCACTTTGGCTCCGGCCATACACCATAACCTCGGCCTTATATCCTTTAGTTTTGGCCTTGCACCATACCCGTCATGATATCCTCACTTCGGCTTGAGCAGTCACCCCCAAATCTAATTCAAACCTTTATATCATTCACAAGTGAATGACTTCGAGGGGGAAATAGTGTAGTGGTGATAGTCCGAGGTCATGTGCCTTGTTATAATCCAAGGTCAGGTGCCTTGGGCAGCCTAATCTATTCCCAACAATCTAGTCACCTTGATGTCAAGGAACAACGTGCTTAGTCGAGTTCGAGCTTGTCCTTTTCGTTCTTATTCTACAATAACTTCGTACATGCACAGATCTTTTAGGAGAGTTTATTGAGACATATAATCCTAATTGCCCATGAGGAACAACACGTGGATGCTCCTTTAAAGGCTACAAATACCTCCCAAGGGTCTTCCCTAAAAGGTAATTGAAACCGAACTCAAGTTCAGCTCTTGATTCATACCTGGTAGCTTTGATTCCTGTTGACTTAGGCATCGGAGTGTCAACCCTAAGGACTAACCTCGGGGCTTTGCCGGTTGGCAGAAGTGAAGATCTGAGCTTTGGAGTATTCTGGAGTTCTTTTGCCACTACAAAGTGAGATATGGTTTATCATCCCTTTGATTTCCATTCATAAAAGCAACCCCTCAACAATTCTAGTGTTCTACACCATGCAATGTCATTGATGAGTTCATTGTGATTTACAAGAGATCCATTTCAAAGGCTTTTATCACGTTCTCTACTAGATTCTAGCTGACTTTCTCACCAAGGAAAAGATTGCATTTTGGCATCGTTCTAACATCAAGAGGAATTGTGAAATCAATTACAAACCAAACAGAAAACTTAAATCAATCTAGCCTTAGAACTTACCTAGTTAATGCTAGAGTCGGTGAGGATGGTAGAGCTGCAGATTAGTTTTTTGAATTGGTACATTGAATAGAGAATGCAGGAATTAGAAAGCGAAGAAAAGGAATTGGGAATGATGCAGAAATCTTTTAGAAAAATGAGAACTCTTTTTTATTACTATAAAAATGCATGTCAGTCACGTAGTCCACTACCTAATTCACTGCTTAAAAATTGCGACATATATCACTTTCCATTTTTTTAATATAATTAAACTTATTAAGGAATTTACCCAAGGACAGTGATGAGTGATGACCCTTAAGATGTGAGTTTATTTTTTATTTTGTAAATTAAGATTTTATTTTTTAGAAAAGTTCATGAGAAATTAATTTGTAATTGGAGTAGATATACTAAAAAAACATTAGTCTCGTATGTATAAGTTGGTTTAAAGACTTTTTAACCATTAAACTAGTTTTCGAAAAGTTATCATTGAGGGGTGATAGAAAAAAAAAACAACATCAAACTATTTATTTCTCAGGTTTATTAGTTGAGTTACCAAAATTTTTTGGTTGTTCTAGCTTAAGTTAAGATTAAACGGAAATAACAATAAAAAGATATTTTCAATTAATCCTTAAGCAATAGTTCTTGTGTTTGGTAAGGAAAAAAAAAACCTTAATTGCACAACAATTTTTCTCCTCAAGGGAGACTCCTCTTTAATGGAAACTACCTTCTCCTTCCTCTCTATTTCTCTTATCTTCCTTAGGTTCTTCTCTCATTTTCGTGCAAAAGTTACAGTCTTAGTTGTTTCTTATTGTGTAAAGTAGTCTGCTTGCAATGGGCATCGTTCGTTTAGGCAAGAAGTAGTAGTGCTTTGAGGGTACTCTATAAGTGGTAGTGATCTGCTGGTTCTCAAAATTGGAGCCGGATGGGAAGCTACAGCGTAGATGGTGGTCTCTATCGCCATTACTTTTGTTATCCCTTTTCACCAAATTATCCAAATTTTGCATATGCAAAATTTACTACCATTACTCTTATATAGTATATCCAGTATTTTCTTTTATGAATAAAGTTTATTTTTCATAAAATAAAATAAAATAAAAACTTAATTGTAAGTTGCAATACAAATCTCAAAAATAAAGAATAATTGATACAATTCTAAATTATATACTATTACCATTTCATTTTAATTCTCTTACCTTTCACATATTGACACTTTTAAGTGTTAAAATAACACATTTATCTTTAATAATAATTTTATATCTTCATGAATAAAGAATATAGTCTATTTATTACACTTTCTTTTACATTAGTTGTTATGGAAATGAAAATAATATAATTATAATAGCACGTGGTATGTTTTGTGAGCTTAAAATATGATTTATTCTCTCAAAATTAAGTAATAGGGCAACAAAATTGAAACAAAGGGAGTATCAAAGTGCAAATCTTTTACAAAAATGATATGCTTATAATATCTTTGCTTATAATATGATATATTATTATATAATTAATTTTTTAAATTAAAAATTTATTTATAATATTGTATATATTTATTAATTTAATAAAAACCACACTTATTTAATACTACATTTTAATTGTAAACATGCAATTCAACAGAATATTATAATTACAGCATTATTGAACCTTTTAACCCCATAAATCCAAATTAAACATTTTTTAAGTGTAAATTTTAAGAGAATCAAAGAAATTTAGATGATCGAAATTCATTGAAAACCAAACATGCTAGATTCCTCCAACTTCTTAGCAAACTTATAAAATTAAATAAATCTAATAAAAATTTCACTAAAATTTCATTACAAAATTTGTCAATTTTTAATTTACTACTTTCTAACTTATAATAAAGTACATTCTTGTCCGCTATAGTGATTAAGAGTACATTCTTGTCCCCAATAATGATTAAGATTTTGAAGTTGAAGAGGAATTTAAAAAGAAAAGTGTTATTTTTTATTATATAGATTATTACTAAATGTACTAAAAAAATAAAGTATATATCTAATAACTATTTTAATAAGAATTTTTAGTCTGTGTCATGATTGTATAAATTAAGAACTTTTTTTAATATTAATTGTTATTAAAAAGATAAAAATTAACTTTAATTAATTATTTATTTAATTAAAATAATTTATATGATATTTATGATAAAATTAATATCAAATTTTTTTTATTTTCAATATTAATTAATAAAAAAATATTAATTACACACTCAAAAGTTAGAAAAACTTTTTTAATAAAAGAAAAATGCTAACTGTACACGGGCTTTAATTGACTGATTGTTTTTTTTTTTTAATTAAAAAAATAAAAAATGAAAACAAAAATTGAGGAAACCGATGGGAGGAGAGCTTGGGCTCTCGGCCCGACATCTAGCGCACTGGACACTTCATTTTAGAAATGTTCAGGGTGATAAAGACCATACCTGACTATGCCAAATTAACTCTTGTCCCTGTTTGCTCACTTGATGATTCCATTTTTATAATTCAGTGTAATCAAGAATCATAACAAAAATGCCCTAAAAAAATAAATTAAGCTTAAAAGCCCACCCGGCTTTTACTTAGATTTGAATTTTGACAACTCTAGTATTTTGCGAGGATTCTGAGAAATGTAATTATATGAGATTTTCCAGAATCAGGCGTACTAGAATAAAAATAAGAAATAAAAAACATGAAATGCAATTCCTGCATAAGAATTTAAGTAAAAACAATGGATAACAAGCTGAATGTTTCTTGGCAGATTGCATCAGCATTTTGTCAGATTTGAATGCCAAAGAACAAAAGGAAATGATTACAGAATCTACACAAATGATTATGAAGATTGGAAGTTATATAGTCAGTTTCTTCCATTGCAATCGGCGGTTAGATACTTACATGGTGATTATGTTTGTGGTTTTGGTGATCCAATCCCCAAATTCTAATAGTCCGATCATCGCTAGCTGAAGCCAACATGTGGGGGTTTGCTGGGTTCCAGCTCACACAGTTTACAGCACCAGAATGCCCAGGCAGCGCCAGTAGGAGCTCCCCAGAATATCTATGCCATATATATACCTGCACCAAGAAATCGTTTGACTTAACGCAATTTGCAAAGGTGTTCTGTTGACAGGAAAAAATGCATATTGCCTAGAAGAATACATGTGTGCTTTAAGTGGATGAACATTTGTGTAGGAGAGAGATGAGAGGGACGTAATCAGTTCTATTTCTGCCACTGCTAAGTAATCCTAAACCGGTTGCATTTTAATATACTTTGTATACAAACTATGCCCACCTCTTGTCTCTTGAATTGACCAAATCAGAAGGTTGTTCTGGTGACATTGCACAGTGTTATCACTTTCAATTCCAGTAATGAAATCAATATGGTCACAATCTAATTCAAATCTTGCTATCTTCACAATGCTTGATGCATGTTCAAGCATTTCAAGCTCTTCATTTCCCATATTAATCACAGTTTAATTTTTGCAAAAGCAATATAATTTAGAATAGTAATTACTTCAAAGTGACTAGAAAACTTAGAACACTTAAAAAGGAGATATGCTAAAGTGCTTCTTCAAAAGCTTTGACATCAAGCAGTTCACTAACAAGATAGATTCAGTCCAAAGGCCAGTAGTGAATGTATAAACAGAAAACAATATCCAGCAACACTCATTATTAATCATTATTAGCGAACACTTGTCACGTAATTAAAGTGTCACATAATTGACTTTAATCATATAATAATGATGGTAACTGTAGTACATAAAACAAACAGAAGATCCCATAAAAAAATAAAAAAATAAAATAAAATAAAATAAAAAGAAGAAGAAGAAGATAAGATGGCACCTGTGAATCCTCACTCCCACTTGCGATAAAAGCCTGCTCAAATCCTCCAAAACAAGATCTAATGATAAATCGGGTACGTTTGTGGCCTTTGTATTTTGATACAACCTTAGGATCACCTTCTATGCTCCATAGATGAATTTCTTGGTTTATTAGATTAACAAGCAAGTATTTATTGTCTTTTGATAATGAAAATGAAGTAATCATGTCCTCCTCTTCAATCAATTTATCAAATCTTGCCTCCCGATCAAGCAATAGTATTGCAGTTTCTCTGCATACGCTTATGATCCTCTTTCCATCATTAGTTATTGCCATATCTGATATTCTGCGTATCCTCTGTCCTTTCCAACATTCAAGCTCTCTTCCATCCAAATCCCACAGGCAGATGCTCCCATCAGTCATTCCAGCAAATATACCTCTACCATCAGGAAACCATCCACAGGAAATCACACCAACTGCAGATTTTTCATAAACATGGAGTAATTGCCCAACATTGGCATCCCAACGTCTGATAACTTTGTCCTGCCCACAGGTAAGGAGTTGGCTGTCATCGGGGCTCCATGAAACAGTTAATACTGTTTTCTGGTGACCACTTAGGGAATGCTTCAATGCAACTTGACCATTTTCCTTAACCTAAAAATGAGAGGGAAATACTCAATTTATAAAGAGAACAATTTGAAATGAGCAAATGATGAGCAAATGATGAACAAAATGAGGCTACTATAGGACATCACAAGGATTTACTCCCAAGAAATAAAAAAAAAAAAGAATGTTACAAGGATTTACAAGACAAGGCAAATAAACTTATCGATTTCTGTGCCAGAATGCAGAAAAATACAATTGAAATAGATCTTGGGCATATTATTTATGCCACAGCAGGTTAAAAGAGATTCTTTATTTACAAATAATATGCATCTATGTTTATACTTCAAACATGAAACAAGCTGTGCTCAATTTCTATTGTCAAATAGAAATAAATACTTCTGACTAACATGAGAAACATGGAGTTAACATTGCATAATGCTGCGGTCCTTGCCAAACAGTGATTGATCAGTTATGCATTTCCAAAATTCCAAATCAAGGTAGAACCTCAATCAGGATTCAGGAAAGAATATTTCAGCAATAAAGTATTTTATGTATCTATATCTAACTCTTGAATATAGCAAATAGTAAAATCCAAAAATGAAACAAGAGAATTGCGGTATGACTTAACAAAATTTATACAGCTAACTTTAAATAAATAAATAAAATAACAACCCACCTTGGAAGGAAATAACATCTAACAAGACAATGAAAAATGATGAAAAAGACAATGACCATTACAGAAAGAAGTTACCTCCCATATTATGGTTGAGCAATCTTTTGATGATGAGGCCAAATATTTCCCATTGTGAGAGAATTGCAAAAACCAAACTTCATCCCTATGTGTTTGCAGTATCTGTTTCATTCAAATAAGCAGAAGATTATTATAAGGGCCATTTACAGAACATAATTGCACTATGATAGTATCTAAAGGCCAAGGTGATGCTAATGATAGTGGTAATAACAGAAAAAGGAATACCAAAAAAAGCAATAAAACTTGGCCATGAAAAATTGAACATAGAAGGAGGCATCCAAAGAAGCCAACTTCTCTCTAGAACATAGACCAAGAAAATATGACTATTTCCACATAATCGAGCCTCTGCAAATCTGCTAGCTGAAAGAGTACATTATAACCAACAGCCAAAAGGTAGTCTCATTCCATAAAATGATTATGAAAGATAATAAGCATAAAAGAAAAGAAAAGAAAATTTAGGGTCGTGTCAACTTAAAGGTTTGCTAGGCATTGATATCAATGCTAATGGAAAAGTATGGTGCAGACAAGGGGTTCACTCCAAGTCTATACAACTACATTGTCTTACAAAATTACAGTTATTCATACACAATAAGGCTATGAAAACTTTTAAAGGTATAAATGTAATCAAAGTCATCATGAAGAAAAGAGTTGCTGCTGTTTTAACAACAAAATTTTCAGCATATTTATGATCAAATTTATCAAATTTCGGAGAAAAACTTTAATTGGAGGAGTAATGAAGTGACTTATTTTTTACTGTATTTCAGAGGATATTAAACTAAAGAAGATAAACAGCTTGACAAACATAAACAATTATAACCATACAGCAAGGGCCAGAAAAAAGAAAAGTCTTGGTGCAAAACAGCTCCATAATATTACCAAGATTTTATTTTATCAAAAAGTAAACAAATAAATACAACAGTAATTATGTTAGAATGTAATCCTTGAAGCCTCGTCAAGGATCCAATAACACTCTTTAGTCTTCAAGTTAGAATATAATACATCAATGCAGATTCCTAAAAGATCATGCACTCCAAGTTTCTTTAACCAAGGACCATTTTTACCAATTATTTGAAGTTATTGATTTACCCTAAAGATGCACATGCTGCATAACACCAAATCTATTATCATCTCAGTTGTCTAATCTGCATCTAGAGGCACCTATCATTGTAAATAAAGGAAGTTAGAGCATCAATAAATTTTGTTTCATCAACAAATTTTGTTTCAACAACAAGACTGCTCTGAACACATTATTTCCATATCATCTCAACAAGCAACCACAAATGAACTTCATGAACATCTGTAAATGGAACTTCCATCATGACAAACAACTGAAGTACACTTTTCTATGCACTGCTTCCTAGCTTTGATTGTGTGAACCATCATTTTGACTGGTGGTCGCAGAATTCGTTTCAAGTCAAATAAATAGGATCTCTTTCTTTCCCTTTCTTCTCAGTATATTTAATAGATTCACCTAGTTAAAAGAGTAAGCTATCTTACTACCACGGTTGTTACTACTAATATAGATTTCAACTGCATTTCCCACATACTTGCAAAACTAATCAAAATGACCAAAACGAAAAAAGGCAAGAAATATAAAGCATTATTTACAAATGTGAGAGAATTGCAGTCCTTTATGGAAAAATAAGAAGAGAAAAAAAATATACTATAATCATGCACTATTTCAGAGTACTTTCTTATACCCATCATGGATCTATAAAAACTTGAAAAATGTAGTAAAGCTGGTTTTATTGGATATTTGCTTGTTGATTTCTTTTTTCCTTCCAGGTAATAGATTATAGAAATTAAACCATAGGAGAGTTAATTTATGCCATCTGGAAGAAATGATTGTGTCAATCAGACTGACATTTGGCAACAGAGAAGTAAATAGTTCAATTCCAAATGTTATTTAGGAAATGTGCTAGGATTTTAATGCTCCTTGAAGCCAATCAAGAGAATAGAAACAGTAGTAAAAAGTCTGAAGGCAGCAAATTAAATGACCATCAGTTCTGAACATTCTAACCTTTAATGTTTGAGAAGGAATCTGATTTCTTCCACACTGGTGATCCGAGTACAAAGAGAGGTCACTATCCAAGGTATTATGGAACATACAAGCATCCCGCTGTACATCAAGAGCCCTCTCAACAAGATGTTCTAACCTTCTCTCCGGAATCATGACATCAGCAGGAAGCAACTTTTGTAAATTTTCTAAAATTTTAGACCTCGAATTTGCCACCTCAGCATTATGACCAGAAGGCTCGAGAGTTAAACATTGAAATGGAGAGATGACATTTGCAGCAAGCTCATGAACTCGGCTAATATTGATTTGAAGGGGCACAATCTCACTCCTTAAAGTATGCAATGCAGCAGAGACATTTTCCATCTTTAAAAGGTCAAGGAACTTTTGTTCCAATATCAGGAAAGATGCTGATTTCACAATTCTTTCATCTGATAGACCAATCAAATGCAATGTCGCTATGCTATCATCCCATTTCCCATCCATCACTTGTTGCTTAAACAAATTCACCACAGATGAATGCAATGTTGTTCCTGATTCTTCCTCTAGAAGGGCTGCACTTTTATCATAGCCAAGCGAGTACAATGCCCTAATTATGATTTTGATGAATTCTGTTCTTTTGATGACTCCTCTTGAACCAATTGTTTCCCCATCCCCTTGGGAGGTTAAAGGCCTAGCCATCAAGTCTCCCAAAGAGCAAGAAACAGGCTCTGTGTTTGATGGAGGTCCTAGAAAGCTCTTTGACTCCTCCAAGGTCCCTTTTACACGTTTCAAGGGAGGTTCATTATCTTCTAAGACTCCCATGAAATGCCTGATTCAGCCCATATATGTTCTACAATTCAAAAAGAAAAAATTATGACCGAAGAACATTGAACCCAGAAATTCTCCAATGGACAACTAAGAACCAGAATTGATAGCAAGACAAATATAAACAGCAGAAAGGCTTTGCGATTAAATGCAAGATGAGGACATGATTTCATTCATATCAAACTTACAAATCTTTGGGAACATAAATACTTGCCACGAACAGCATTTCTGAAACATCAGCTTATACCACAATAAGATGAAAATGGCAACTGCATGGAATGAGTGAAGGAAAGAAACTACATTTGATTCGACTACAAAAGAAACTACATTAACATGGAGGAACCAGACAGTAGCTATTAATACCATGTTCAGAAAACTATTTCTAACCAAATAACATAATTGTCATAATGATTATGAAAGAACAACTCCTAACAATAATCTGGTTTAGTGATGCAAATATTTCATTTTATACACTGATTGATACTTAATACATAATTTTCTAAAAACTCAAATGACAATAATCAAAATGGATAAGGACCAAAGACTACCAACCTCCAGAGAAAGAACAAAAACTAAGAAAAGAATGAAGAAGAAAAAGAAGCTATTCTAGTGAATGTATTCATCAGGTCAAATGGAAGAAGAAGACAATTCTAGACCTGAAAGACCAAATCAAAGTTGCCAACAAACAAGTAATCAACTCAATCACAAGCAACGGAACAAGAATTGCCCAGATAAACAAATTAAACGTAAATAATGAATTAAAGTAAAATTAGAACTAAACCCTCAATAATCCTTACCAGAAAGAGTCCCCAGCAAAGCCCAGGAAGGAAAAGAAATCCCTCAGGAATGAAACTACCCAGATGGCTAACACCAAGAAAACTGAGAATGCGTAGAAGAGAGAGAAGATGAAACCCTAAAAGCAGAAGCACCGAAAGCTATAGATAAAGCATTGAGAACAGTGATAATTAAAGAAGTCTGAAGAAAAGATTTTATCTTTTTCTTTCTGGGTATTGTTGGCAGTTGTTGAATTGGATTAAATTAGAATAGATTTTTCAAAGGCGTTACAGTAGGCAGAGACCCAAGAGTAACCCCCCATGTGCCTCAGCGGTGTCTGTAAAACTTACTGCGTGTATCGTGCAAGGGAAGGATACGTGGGTGTCTTCGGTTTTCACACAATGTGAAAACGAAATTATCAGAAGGAAATCAGGGGTTAATGGAAGACAAGTATCTTGACGTGCAGGTAACCATCCATAGAATATTCAAGGCATTTCCTTGCTTTTCGCAGCATTTATCCAAAAACTTGTTTCAAAGAAAACATTAGAATATTTCGTTGCTTTCTGGTGAGAGCATAGAGAAAATGTACGGTATAATTTTTTGGCAAAACCCCTTCTTAAGCCCCTAAACTTTACCAGCTATAAGCTATCAGTCCCTAAACTAAAAACTGGGCACATAACCCCTAGAACCCATCCATCAAACCAAATCAGTCCTTACGCTAACGGCAACACCTACGCCGTTTTCTCATTGTGCTCTGTGGCGAGCCTTTTTACGTTGCATCTAACGTGTTTTCTACAAAGAAAAAAAATTCCTTAAAGTTTAAGGGGTGATACATGCGAACAAAAATTAGGGACGAAAATTTGAGATTATTGATAACATAGAATAAATTATATTATTAAATAAGTTATATATAAAATATTATGAGTTTTAATTAAATTAAAAAATTAATTATTAATTAATATATAATTTATTATTTTTATTTAAATATCTTTTTTTTTAATTTTAAAAATCATCTTTTAATTTGACTACTTATTGTAATAACTTTTTTTTATTTAATTAACTTCTTTGTGAATTTGACACCATATAGATAAATCTAAAATCTCAAATGTTCTATGCAAATCCACGAATTTTTTTACCCTATTGTTTGGGCAGCTTCATGAGCATTAGTAAACCATGAGTTGACCAGCTGACCAACAAGGAGACTTGCAAAATAAACCAAAGGGTTGTCCTTGGGGTCAACATTTTGATACCCAAGTTAGCAATATTTTATACTTTAGACTCCTTTTAGAGAGATAAGGAGTACAATAGAGAGAGAAGTGCTCAAGAAAAAGTCCTTGGTGCAAGTGTATATAGACTCCTTAGGAGTGCTTTACACTTGTTGCACTTCTATTAGTTCTTTTCAATCCATTTGGGTGTATATGAACTCTATAGTGACTCATGCATGTGTTCTTTTGTATTTGGGCCTTATGGGCCTTTATTACATTTATGGACTAGTTAGATTACTATCCCAACACCACTTCCCCTCTAGTGATTTGCAAGCTTGTTGAAAAATCACTAGGGTTCAGGTTTTTACTTTATAGGTTATAGTTAAGTCTAATTTATTATGGAGAAACCTAGCTCAGAAACCTTGACTTGAGACTTCCGACCTACAAGCTAAAAATGACAACCTAGAACCAAGAAGTTAAGAATGATGACTTCTCAAGTCTCCATGCATGAACTTGGTGTCATTAGGCATAGCGAAGAATGTTGTTCTAGAACTTGATGACTTGAGAGTGATGACTTGGGAAATTCAAACCTCTTGGGCCATGATTGTAGAAACCAAACCTTTAAAGGTCATGCTCTATAGAGCTGAGATCAAAACGAGCTCTTGTAGAGCTGATAAATTGAATGCCAACTTGGAAGTTGGAGATGTCTACTTCAAAATCCCATCTTGGGATGTCCATATGAAAATCTTGACTTCTTAAGTCATAACATAAGAATTAGACCCTTGAAAGTTATGCTCTATAAAGCTAAAATCAAATTGTGGTCTCATGGAACTAATGGTCCTGATGTGCACATCAAGAATTATGCCCTTAAGTTAGGCATGATGACTTGAAAAATCTTGACCCTTAAGTCATAATATAGAATTCAAGCCCTTGAGGGTTGTGCTTCATAAAGCTAAGATTGAATTGAGCTTTTGTAGAATAAACAAGTTAAAAAGCCAATAGCTAATGAGCATAAGCTCTTGTAGAGTGGAAGGGCTAAAAAGCCAATAGCTAATGGGCTTAAAAGCTAATTATAAAAGTCAGAGTTGGGAGCTTACCATGCATAGTTCTTGCTCAATTTCATTAAAGCCTCCGCGTAATTTCTCTAAAGCCCACCCTTTAGTGTCTTAAATCATATTTCTTTGTAGGTGCCCACCCATGTAGGGTCTCAACTCATAATTCTTTATAGGAGCCCACCCAAATAGGGTCTCAACTTGTAATTCTCTATCAGGGCTCAACCATATAAGGTCTTAGCTTGCAATTCACAAGCCTACCCATGTAAGGTCTCAACTCATAATTCTTTGTCAAAGCCCACCCTTGAAGAGTCTTATCTCATAATTCTTTGTCAGAACTTACCCGTGTAGGATCTTAGCTCGTAACTCTTCACTGGAGCTCTCTCAGCTTGTAATTCTTTCATTGAAGCTCTTTTAGCTTGTAATTCTTCATCA